CAGGTCGCGTACATTAGTCCCCTCTTACATGTCGTGTACATTAGTCACCTCTTACATGTCGTGTACATTAGTCACCTTTTACAGGTCGCATACATTAGTCGCCTCTTACAGGTTGCGTACATTAGTTGCCTCTTACAGGTCGCGTATATTAGTCACCTCTTACAGGTCGTGTACATTAGTCGCCTCTTACAGGTGGCGTACATTAGTCACCTCTTACAGGGGGCGTACATTAGTCGCCTCTTACAGGTCGTATAGATTAGTCGCCTCTTACAGGTGGCGTACATTAGACGCCTCTTACAGGTGGCGTACATTAGTCACCTCTTACAGGTGGCGTACATTAGTCGCCTCTTACAGGTGGCGTACATTAGTCACCTCTTACAGGTGGCGTACATTAGTCGCCTCTTACAGGTCGTATACATTAGTCGCCTCTTACAGGTGGCGTACATTAGTCGCCTCTTACAGGTGGCGTACATTAGCCACCTCTTACAGGTGGCGTACATTAGTCCCCTCTTACATGTCGCGTCCATTAGTCGCCTCTTACAGGTCGCATACATTAATTAGTCACCTCATACATGTCGCGAACATAAGTCGCCTCTTACAGGTCGCATACATTAGTCACCTCTTACAGCATGCAGTGAGTTACAGCATGCAGTGGGTTACAGCAGGTCAATTCTTCATCCACACCTGCACAAGAGATGAATGGGGTGGGAGGCTCAAAAAGTGGTAAATGGGACAAAAATGTTTTAAACTGTGTACACTAAATTACATTCATGTAAGAATGCAGGAATTCGGTGTTTGTGACAAATGTTTTAAAGGGATTAGATGGTTTATGGGGGTTTTAAATGTTGTTTTAGTCATATTCTCTATTTGTGTTACTATAGTTAACATTTAAAGCATGTGGGCCTCTTGTCTTTTTATTTTGTTTAAAAACAAAATGGTGCATCTAGAGCGCTCAGTCAATTTGTTTCAGTTGACCGTATTACGCTGACCTTCACTCACATGGACACAGAGTTCTACGCTTCCTGTATCCATGACTACGTGTCTGTATATAACGGCAATGACGAGGCTGCCCCGTTGGTAGGGACATACTGCGGCAACACTATCCCAGCACCAATTACTTCCCTTGGCTCAGCCATGTTTGTCAGATTCGCAAGTGATGGCTCTGTACAACGAACAGGCTTCAGAGCAGTGTACACCAAGTCTCCTTCTTGTAAGTATGCATGAACTGTTTTAGTGTTTATTACAACTTTGAATATACAATCAAAAATTTTTGGAATAAGCGAAAGATGTTTTGAAATGTCAAATGAATATATAATATGCAAATTCATTGTCCAATTCAACTGTCAGGATTTTTTGGATTATTAAAATGTGGCAATTTACTCCAAGACTAGGACTGAAAATTTTACCATGCAAATGTTAAATAAAGAATGATGTAATAATTACGTTTAATTCTGGCACAATTTTATCAGCATGTGGTGGGGACTTCACGGCAGAGAGAGGGTCATTTATGAGTCCCGGATACCCAAACACCTACCCACGGAGTACCGAGTGTGTTTGGACATTCACCGTGTCCCCCGGCAGTCGCATCATGGTCTCATTTAGGTTTGTATTATCTCATTTGTCGTCCTGATTCTTCAATGAAATGATTATGAAAAATTATCAGTTATAGTTGTTATTTGGGCTCCACATTGGAAATACAAATCACAGTGTCTGTCCGTCGGTGCATCCGTCTGCACTTCATTTCCAGGGATTATTTAGGAATCCAAAAGTCTATTTTTTTTTAATTTGAGTGACAGGTTGATTCACTGTGATATGTATAGATGTACAATATGTATTTCAAAAGTTTCTATGGTCAAGGTCACTGTTACTAAAAATAGGCTGTTGGAGTCTGTCGACGTCCTTGGCCTCGGAATAAAAAAGTCTAATCTTTTTGAAATTTGACATGGTAATACACTCTGATATAAAGATGTGTATAGGAGTTTAAAATTGTTTAAGGTCAAGGTTTCTGTTATATAAAGTAGATCGAGGGGGGTGGGGGGGCTCTTGGGTCAGGCACACTGCAGGGCCCATGCTGACCTTTCGCATTCTAATTATTTAACCAAGATTTTTCTTTTTTGATGCCCCACCTTTTATGCAATGGTAAAGTCAAGTGTGAGTATACCTCGGACATCGTTGTGTTTCAAGGCTCCAAGATCAAGGCCAAGGTCACGGTTGCTATATATAGAAAATCATCAACCGATTCAGTGTCATCACTCTAGCTACTTCATTTCTTAACAGATTTTGATGAAAGTTTATACACAGAATACCTCCAACATCGTTTTTGTGTTTCAGGGCTCCAAGGTCAAGCCCAAGGTCATGGTTGCTATATATAGAAAATCATCAACTGATTCATTAACAGATTTTGATGAAAGTTTATACACAATATACCTCCGATGATACTGGCCGTAGGTCGGTGGTTTTTCTCCGGGAACTCCAGCTTTCCTCCACCACAAAAACCTTGAATGTCCTGAAATGACCATAGCTGTTAATAGGATGTAAAACACAAACAAACAAACAAACATAAACCTCCGATGAGTTCATGTTTCAGGATTACAAGGTCAAAGTGGTTGTAACTATTTATAGAACATCAAACACTGAAACCAATGTCACATGGCGACGGGTCATTCATGTCTTACAGATGTCGTGCAGACATTACTAGTTTTTTTTCACTTTTCTAATCCTCTTTCTGTACTTCATCGTGCAGTGTTTTAAGTAGTGATTAGCTTTAGTTTACATACATATTTAGTAACCTAGTTATACTGATCATGTTTCTGTACTAAAGTATGCAGTGTATTTATTATGTTTAATAGGGTATTAGGTTAACATATATGTACTTACAATATCAATTACTTTGCAGTGTGTTTTCATTGGAAGATAATCCAAGCTGCAACTTTGACTATCTGGAGCTGAGGGAAACAGATGTAAACGGAAACCTGATTGGCCGATACTGTAACACAAATCTTCCCAGTAACCTAACGGCGTATAACGGACTGTGGATGAAGTTCCGGTCAGATGACACTCCCGGACCGAATGCTATTGGTTTCCTAGGACAGTACAGTCCAGGTTGGATAGCATTGTATTGGAAACACTTTCAATCATTTTGATTGATGACTTTAACTTTACTTTTATTTTGAGAGAATTGATTTACATTTGGAGAGGTCCTATTTACTCTGTACATTTTCACCTCATTAAATCCTTTCTGTCTGGTCAGTCAAACTTTCAACTGTTGTTGAATTCCTTTCCTGTTTGCAATTTGAGATCCATTTGTTAAACTTTTCAAAAAATGTTCACAGTTTTAAATTCATCCTTCTGTTCCAAGCCAATAATTAACTTCATTTTTCAATATTTTCTATCCCATCTGAAAACGTGTTAAGTTGTTGTAAAGACATTTAAGACATGATCTAACATCTACGAAAGTGAACCTGTTGAATTTGACAAATGTTTATCTTGTTATCATCCAGTGTATGGTGGTGAACTTACCGGAAGTTCTGGACGACTAGCCTCGCCCTTGTACCCACGTCAGTACCCTCATAACGCCGACTACACCTGGACTATTACTGTGGATACCAACATGCGTATCCGGGTAGCGTTCTCCTTGATGGACATGGAGTTCCGACTGACGGGGTGTATCTACGATTATCTCCTGGTAAAGTGTCTGCCACTGATGGAAGTCTGATTACACAGTAAACATAGATATGTAGACAGTGGGACATATGTACAGGTTTTCTGATT